CCCATAGCATTTGCTACCTTCACTTCTTGGTCCTTGCGTGCTCGTCAGTAATCCAAACGGATTTGATATGCCTTCCTCTGTTTATAGCCACGCCACTGGGACTGAAAACACACACAAGAAAAAAGGCGACTTTTCAAAGTGAAGAGCAGTAATTTACTATTCGATGCTTCTTTCTGCTGCTCAGTTTCCACTTCCCTTTGGCTGAATAAAATGTAACAGAGACATGCTCATCTTACAAGACATGCCGTAAGAGATATGTGGTGAAGCCTTAACTATTTCTTCCACCACCAGCTGTCGTTGTGAGGGACTTAGCAGCACCCCCCACCAAGGGCAAAACACAGCTAGAGAACAAATGACTAAAACTAAACAACCAAATGCACCATCCATTGCACAATTCTCAAGGCCATCTTCAAGTCTCCAAACCCACGGACTAATGGGAAGAGGGAGAGAAGTAATTTATACATAGTGATTCCCAGGGAGAAGGAAACGCCTTCCAATACTTTGCAAAACGAAGATAATTGTGCGTGGCAACTGCTTGAGTTGAACAAAACCAGTCAGTAAGCGTGCGTGTGGAGAGCAACTGACAAGTACAAGCTTCAAACAGAATTAGGGGATTTCATACCTGCATGCAAGTGATGGCTGGAACTTGCTTCTTCAAAAACCTCATTCTGGAGTTGAATTCCTGACAAACAAGACAGCCTCGACAACAAGCCTGAAGCTTCACCATCAGGTTCTCTTTGACCAGCCACAACTGCTCTCGGTCCTATGCTGCCGTGACTCCAGATACAGTGCTCTAGATTAGTGTTATGGTAGGAAGAAGAGCCAGGAAGAGAAAAGGGAGATGCAAAAATGACATGTTACACAGCGGCTTCTGTATTCTGCTCAAGAGAAACTTACAAGTTGCTTTTTGGTGAGCAGCAACACCACCGTCTTGTTCTGGTGATAAAGGTGTGCACATTCTCCACAATAGGACAAAGAGGTGCTGACGTGCAAAGTAGACAGTGAACAGGGAAACAAGATACAAAGCTTGCCAACTTGACTACTGTGGGGAAACATTACTTCTGAAAGTTGCAATGAGGCCTGAAATAGGGGCAACTTCAACTTCAGAGAAAAAGAGCACGTACTTTACCTGCATCTCCTCCCGTGACAGCTGTGTGTCATTCTGCACAAATTCCGTCGCTTCATCCCATCCTCCCTCTCTGCTCCTCACGTTATGATAATGATGACAGCCTCCTCTCACCCAGTGTTTCACCCGTTCACTGCCACTGCCTCCTGAAAGCAGAAATGCTGCTATGTTGAAAGCAAACACGTATCTAGCTTCCTCACATACAAATACTACAAGAAGGAAATGCATGGAGAGGGCCCTTCCTCCAAGCAATAGAAGGAACGCCTCAGATTCCAGTGAACCACCGCAAGAACTACCTAAGCACAACATATTCTACAAGTGGGGAATAGTTCACTGCTAACTTCTTCATTTCCTTCCTACCTTTTTTTCTTTCCTTTAACAAAGACTTTAGTTTACAAGGCAGCCTCAATTTCCTGTAACATGAGATTCTAACAAGATACCCAGAACGCAAGACTGCTCCTCACATTTCTCCCCCTCTGCTTTCCATTCTACAGGCAATCATCTTGAATTTACTGCACTAGCAGGCAGCTATTTGGGGTTCACCTGTGGCCATTTTTCTCCTTTCCACTTCTGCCAACTCTCGCTGCTATGTCTCTGCACACTCTGCAGCAACTCCGTACAGCCCCACATCTGGTGAGCACAAGGCACTCAGGGTAGGGCTGGTATCTCCGTCACCGACTGCCTCATTCACGGCCAGAATTCCTAAGGAAACTTCAACAACAGGAGGAGGCAGGTTACCTGCGCAGTCAGGAGCTCAGTGACTCACAACAAACTTCAGAGAGCAAGGCACTGTGCGAGTGTACACAAATACCTTCCTGTATTTATGCACAAAAATACTGATTAAAAAAAGACAACTTGGTGTACAACAATCTTTTCAGTACAGTGTGCATCTGTGTATGGCACAGTGTCTGACAGCGCTTTTTTTTGTGCTCTTAGTCCTACTATGGTGCTGATTTATCGACGGTATTTCTCTACAACCTTTTATCCATTCACTCAGCTGTACTCTGACAACAGCTGTAGTCAAGGCAGCTGCTTCTTGCAGAGCCCTGCTACAGCAGACAACTGACTCAAAAAGCACCTTTCCAGTGACTGCACCGTTCCTAGCAAGAATAGCAACCTGAACACAGAACAGGTTATCAACAAGAACAAGATGAGGAAAGAGCTAACCCAGGGCTACTCCAGAACTCTGTTGCAAACACAGTACAAAATCAACCACAGGTATCTCACCGAAGCAGTGAACACGAGATACAGTCATTTTCAGCACTGAGCAAATGTCTGTTCACACACACACAGGTAGAAGGGTATCTGAAGATCTTATTCAGGCTCAAAGAAGCATACTTTAATCCTGCTTTTGACCAAATGTTCTTTGGCACAGTCCACCTGCCAACTGCACTGATTTGTGTTTTTATCTGCACTTAGTGCAAAAAAAAAAAAAAAAAA